CGACATGCCAACACCTTTCCCTTCGCTAGATTTTGAGCGAGAGCGGGATGAAAAAGAAGTGTTCTCCCAGATCAAGAAGCCCCGCGTGCGGTATGACGTGGAGGTAGTGACAAAAATGGTTGTATATGCGGGTATGTGAGACCCTTGTATTTTGCTACAACGTTTGCTGATATCAGTCTCCTTTAGGTATTCCATGGGTGGTCATTGAAATCGCACCCCTGTTATTCGACCTAATCGGACTTGGAAACCGATAATGAGGACAAGAAATGTATCGATAGAAGTGCAATTCGCTTTCCAGTCCCTCGCTTCCTACCTCCACCAACTCTTCAGCCTGCTCCTTGCCCAGCGGGCTGTGCTGGAACAGGCTACCTTCGAAATATTCTTTACGTTATCCATGTACATAAGCATCGAAAACAATATCCATAGGTACATTCTTCGGTCTGGTCAGACATCCTGCTCAAACACAGGTATGGACCGGCTGCATGGACCATGACATAGAAGATAATAAAAGGCAGAAGACAAAGGGTGATCAAGTAAAGAGCTACAATCACAACTTTCTCTTTGAGGTTGTCTTTTGTTGATGGCTGTTTATAGAGTCCGCCACAAGACGATAACATCAAAGGACACGAGACCAGAACAAGAGGAAACTATATCTAGCAAAAGTCGAAGGACAAAAATCAAAGAAAGTCTTCTCAAAAAAATAGGTAAACAAAGAGTGACAATCTGTACACCATGTAGGTCATAACAACAATGGAGGCTGGGCCGGGGAATATGTGATGAGTCAGCAGAATGATGAAAGAACCCGAGCACCGCGTCGGCTCATATTGTTCCCATACCTCTTCCTTTGTGGAGTATCTGCTTCGGTTCTGGGTTCGGGATAGATATTCCAGTCATGCCCAATGATGGATCTTGAAGTCTCATCTTCATCTACTTGCTCATTCCTCCCCTTTCACACCCTCATCGCTCATTCAACCGTCGTCAATCTACTTCAAAGCGCGTCATCGGACGAGTAGATCGCTCTCGACCTTCTGGTTCCAGCTTATTCGGCGTGACACATCAACATGGGGTTCTTTCGCTGGCCTCGGTGCAAGCGACGCGCCTCCCCTACGAAGCCTACGAAACCCTCGCCCAATATTCCCAATCCCTTTAAGGCCTCGAAGCCTCCATTTGACGCCTACGATGGTATGGTAGCCCCTCTTTGGAAATTCAAGTCGCGCATACTAAACTCCAGCTTAGCCCTAGATGATTCTCACTTGCCAATGCCAGGAGCCTTCCCGTTGACTCCTCCTGAATCACCTACCCTTGTTGTATCACAAGGCGCGGCCATCGAGGATGAAGATGTCCCACCGAAGGGGTGGGAATTTATGGACATAGATGCCCGCGCAACACCAGCACTGGTTACAGATCTCGGCATACATCTTCACCCTCGATTACCGCCATACACCCCTCCCCTTCCGATCGCTAGGCGCATCCCATCGCCAAGACCAACTGAAGCCCCAGAGCCCGCCGAGGAGGATCGCATGGACATTGATGACCCATGGGACCAACAAGCTCAACAAGATGCAAGACTTCCTCATGGCCCGGTTTCCGCTGTACAGTTATTTTACGCCCAGAGGAGGCCAATTCCTGCCAATCGCATGGCATCGTGGTATGAAGCGGAATTCCAGAGGCGAGAGAGAGAAAGATTAGCCCGCGAGCGTGATCTCCGGCGTCCTAATAGAGTGAGGCCTACGGGTCAACCCGTACGTCTGATTTCGCCCGAGTGGCTTGCCAAACTTCAACGCGCCTTGCAGAGTGGACAAGGACAGGCCGTCGCCAAATCATTAGCCGGAGACGATCTGTACCAGCGGGATATCGTCACATGTATTCGCTCTGAGGCCTGGCTCAATGACGAAATCATCAACGCCTACCTTGGCTTACTCATTCACTACCTCCGCCAATCGCATGGAAACCTCGGACCTAAGGAGCGGCCGCGCTTCCACGCCTTCAACACCTTTTTCTACTCTACCCTTCGCGATAAGGGATATGACGGCGTGAAACGGTGGGCAAACCGCGCCAAGATCGGTGGCGAAGGATTGCTTAATGTCGACACAGTCTTCATTCCCGTACATGAGTCAAGTCACTGGACCCTCATGGTTATTCGACCAGAAGAACGTACAATCGAGTATTTCGACTCTCTGGGATCTCGCGGTGCCCGCCAAGTGAAAAATGTCAAGCAATGGCTTCGTGGAGAGCTCGGGCCAAAATATAGGGACGACGAGTGGACCGTCCTGCCATCGGTCTCTTCTCAGCAAGACAACGGAAGCGATTGTGGTGTCTTCCTTCTAACAAACGCCAAAGCAATTACTGTTGGGGTTGAACCCACCTCCATTGGCCCAAGGCACATCACACTTCTCCGCAGAAAAATTGTTGCTGAGCTCATGAACGGTGGTCTTCACGGCGAGTTCAATCCACGGGACAAAGCAACAGGTGAAGTGTTGCTCTAAACAAACAAAAAATGACCAGTTGGCTATGACTACACGCATCGCCTTTTCTTGTCGATCTCATGCATTGGATTCGGGGCTCTGTTCACCTCTCTACATAATCTCACATACCTGATCCGTCCCCTACCCACAATTCTCCATATTAAGCACCATCTACAAGGCGTTTTCGGTCACCATTACACATCTGATATTTCGGCGCGCATGGCGAACACACGGAAAAGACGAAAAAAAAAAGGACAATGAATTTTCTTACGGCGCACTCTTTGTGATGTTTGCAATGAATCTGAATGATACCCCACGGTCACCATCATGGTGACTCAGTTGATACAAAGAAACTCCTTCTCGCGCACTGGTTTCATCATATTTCTTTGTTTCCTTGGTTCTCTTGTTTTCCTTTGGGGCGTGTGGTTTTTACCTTACATAGCATCAGCTTTCTCTGCTGCCAATTTGTAGCATGTATTTCTATTGTGTTGGTGTTCTGCTCTTCCATCTATACACAAGCAATTAGTAGTAGTAATTTTGACGGTAACATTGCCTTAGGGATCAGCTCTCGGGGCATAGGGTGCCACCTAGACGCCTATATATGCCCTAAGCGGCCCAGCAACCCCAAGTGGAATATCCCCAGCGACAACACAAATACCTCCATGAGGTCTCTGGCTTTAACGAAAAGATGACTGAGACTATATAAACCCACTAAATTCGGCAAATCCGTTGACATATATGTATTTTTTGATAAAATATCCATTCTGTTCAGAACTAGAATAAAGAAAACCCATGCCAGTCAAAGTAAAAAACGAACGACCAAAACTGATAATAATACACAAATTTGCCAGAAAAGCCCAAGTTAGAGTTCATCAATGTTGCATGGTCTCTGACAAAATACTTTAAGAGGCCGATTCCTCCACTTTTTTCTTCTGCACTCGCGGCCCTGCCTCCCTGGCTTGCACTTTTCATCCTTATTATCCGGCTCCAATGGATGCTCATTGCCAAGGGAACCATTTGTGAGAGTGGCCCTTTGATGGCCACCATGGTTCTGCGAAGGAGACACATTAAAACCCCTGAAAGCATCAGTGGAACGGTTATAGCCTAGCTCGATGTATTCGATGCCCATGTATATACTATCACCAATTCTCATGTCGCCCGTCCAAAGTCCGCCGTTACTCCAAAGATTGATAACAATCATGCTCTCCAAATCGGGAACTCTGTATGATTTGGCATCCTGTATCTGATCGTTGACATACCACCGTGACATGTTCGAGAGCCAATCTAGGCGATGCGTGGACCAGGTTGTCCATGGGACAGGTACGTCGGCAATGGTGCTCGCACCGGGTATATCTCGATCAGCGGCAAAATCATAATCAGGCTGATTGGCATAGTGCACGCGATGGGACGGGTCTCGCGTTAGAATTTCAATGTCCGATTCACAGGTCTGGTCATGGTAGGTAAAGATGCCAGCACAAGCGCCGTCCGATGGCCGACCATCATGAAGCGGAGTTGTCTTGTTGTTCCAGGGCGCGGTAGAATGTCGTTTTGGATCCCGCGGCGGCCATTCCCCAGGGTGAGGGGGTTGCGATACGATGGAACCAGCTGGCAATAAACGAAACCGGACACGAAGCGAACATCGGTAGATGTTGTGTAGGCGAGTCTCAATCTCCGCGGTGGAAGTGTGTTCTGAGAAGCGAGTGGTGCGCAGAACAAGATACGTCGCATGAGGATCATCTTGCTCATGGTCCCGGGTGAGAAAGACGTTGTGTTTTGAATTTACCATGAGAATCGGGGATATGGGGGTGCCTCGGCGTTCCCAGTTTTGACTGCTCCAGTCTCTCTCGAAGGAGGTCTTGTAGAATACAAGTGATCTGGGGTCTGGGTTCTTTGACTCGTGGACTCCTGGTGAGCCATTTTGCGGGTTTTGGTCATCACCCTCATCGTCATCATCCCAGTCCTCGTCGCCATAATCGATGGGCTCTGACAGATTGAGATTGGCATGTTTATTCAAATCCACTGCCCGAAAGTCCCAGATCTTGTAATGCTGGAAGTATCCCGGATCGGGCCCGGAGATTGTATAGCAATCGCACCCGCGTGGACGTTTCTTGGCTGGTGACTGCGGTGGTGCCCTAGCATCTGATAAACTTGATGCTACCGTGCCGAGATAGATCACGACCACCCCGAAGGCGAAAACGTTGATTTTCATAGTGGCAGTAACCGGATTTCAAAAATTCTCAAGATGGCCCTGGGTGAAGTGAAGATGAACTCGGAAGGTCTTGGGTTGACTCGACAAGAAGCCGCGCTGATCGTGATTTCCCTCTTTGGGCTGAGATGTCACGATCAGCAGAATCTGTATGCCCAAGCTCCAGTGCTCTTTTCAGTAAATACGCATATAAACCTGGTATTTCTTCCCAGAGGATGACTCGTTATACAATTGACTGACAATTAGCTATCCCTAGGTATCGTACATTGTGTGATAGATATGCCAATTTGGCTAACATCTTCTGATATCTCTCTTCATACAGAAATTAATCATACCGCCGGCTCAGTCTCCGAGACTGGTTCAAATAGATCTTGCTTCAAAACTTCCAACACCAGCTTCTCATCAATATCTTGAAAATTCGCCGAAGAGCCAGGGAGTGTTTCATTTCCAGTCGCGTCGTCGTTATCACTCGTGATAGAATATTGAGCTATCTCATCTGGCCCAGCGGTCCTAAGATAGTCTTTCTCCAGTATAAATTTGGAGTTATCCTTGTCTGCAAACAGGGTCTCCGCTGGCTCTGGTAGTGCATAAATGGTAGGGAATTCTAGGACGGTCCGATCGCGCAGAACAGTATTGAGCGTCGAGGATTGCAAGAGAGGAATTAAGACGGGCTTTTTGGTTGTGGTTCGCGGACGGTGAAGGTAGAAGTAAAGACCGCGGTGAGAGGCGATAGTCTGATTTTGTGTTTCATCCGTTTGCTCAGTTGAGGCATCTGCTGGTTCCTCTGCTGAGTCTTTGACTGGGGAGGGTGGTGGTTTTGTATCTGCGGCTTCAGTCCCTGTCGTGATAGGCTCACCGGGTGCACCGATAGTTGTATTAGGAGTGTCCAAATCTTCTTTTTTCTCTTGCTTCACCGGCTCGATGACTGGCTCTTGATCCTTCGGGCGTGGGCAGCATCGATTATAGGCTTCAGCGACAGAACATGACTCAATGACAGAATCACGAATAGTTTTCACCCCATCAGCTGTGATCCACTCTATGGTCCAAGCAAGACGCTTATGCCTTATGAAACACCTATGTCAGTACAACGTCTGAACCAAAAGACACGAGAAATTCCTAACTCACTTGGGATGTAAACGTGACCCATTCTGCTTATTCCTCGACATTCCCTTCGGAGCTCGGAGAACTCTCACTCCAGCAGTCTCGGTGCCGCGCAAGAACGCAGCCTCGCCCTTGGCAAGGCCCTGGTTCGGGTGCTTCCTCTTGCGGCTAGCAGCCGGATGCTGGAAACCTTCGGGATTACCGTCATCGGGCTGGGGACCACCCGTAAGGTCAATGCCGCGGTTATCGACTTCTCTCTCCGCGCGCTCGAGGCCGCGCTCGATGCCGGTGATGAAATTAAAGTCGCGGTCGAACGCAGATTCGGTGTTTAATTCATTGCGTTTTAGATATGCAGCTGGATCGCGTACGCCCGAGCATTGCGACCAGAGTTTGTGGCGACGTGTGCAGGGTAGAGAGCAGGTGCGTGTTGAGCAGCGTGGACAGCGGTATTTGGGAGGATTGACATGGCTGTACGGACACGGGTTAGATTTTCCAGGTATACCAGTATGTAGTTTCATGGGCATACCATATTGAGCAGAGATCACTCAGCAAGGGATCTGAGTCGGCCATGGTGATTGTTGCGGAGTTAGAGAGTTGGAGAGTCGGAGATTTGATGGGAAATTTATTTGTCTTATCGATAACCGCCTAAGGCAGAGATCTGGAACTAACTATACAAAGTCACATTTCGCCAACAACCTTAATTTCTCCAGAAGGCTCCACAGATAGACCTTGGAATGAGCCATTAGCAGGATTATTCATCTGTCAATGGCCTAATTTTCCCTTGAATGTGATCTTTTGCGGGGATACACCAGTCCTGTCTTCTGTAGATGATATCATCTGCGGATACGATGATCAATCCCCGTTGCATTTCTAAGCTTCGGGGACATCTTCCGGCCCGAAGGCCATTATTTAGTTGTTTAGATTCCTTCATTTCATCTCGACTTTCAGAACATTCATATACTTACTAGATCAAATATGGCTTCCAAGGCACTCGCGATCATTGCTGGTGTTGGCCCTGGCACGGTATAGTTCACATTCCCCCTTCCTGGCTCTATAAGGCATGATTAGCTGACCAAAGAGACAGGGCGCCTCAATCGCCAGGAAATTTGCAAAATCCTACTCAGTTGTAGTTCTGGCTCGAAACCCAGACAACTATGATGCAGTCGTTCAAGAAATCAATTCCAACGGCGGCCAGGCCATCGGCATCAGCGCCGATGTCTCCGACTCGAGGAGCGTCAATGCCGCCTTTGACAAGATCCAAGCGCAGTATCCTTCCTCCAAGGTAGCTGCTGCTGTCTTTAATCCAGGTGGCGGCCTGGTGGTCAAGCCATTCCTCGAGCTGACGGAAGAAGATTACTCGACTGCACTCGGGTCACAGGCGTACGTATCTGCTGTCTCTTATACTTATCTGCTCCACTTTATTCCGGGCTCAATATAATCCACATTATTCTGAGTGATTTTACTGAATTATTGACTCCCATATCAGACATGGCGCCTTCAACTTTGCCCAACGGGCTATTCCGCTGCTCCTACAAGCTCGTGAATCGTCGGAGCACCCGCCCACACTAATTTTCACGGGAGCTACTGCTAGTATTAAGGGTTCAGCTAAGTTTGCTGCTTTTGCTTCGAGCAAGTTTGCACTGCGTGCATTGGCGCAGTCACTTGCTCGTGAGTTTGGGCCGCAGGGAGTACATGTCTCGCATACTATTCTTGACGGTGTCATTGATATCCCTCGTACCAAATCCTGGGTATTTGAGCATGAAGATGCGAAATTAAGCCCCGACGCTGTAAGTTTGGCTTCATTTGTTACTTTATCGCGGACACTCACTAGTTATAGATTGCGGACTCATATTGGTATTTGCATACTCAGCCGCGCACGACATTTGCGTTTGAGTTGGACCTGCGACCTTATATTGAGAAGTGGTAGGGACTTTTCGGGAACTGTCTTGGGTCTTGATGAGGCATTGTAATCGATCAGTAAACCCAGGAGAGCAGCATCTGCAGAACGAAGGTAGTATGAATTCATCATCGCCATATGTGCATTTATTGAGATTGTCTCGTATCAGGCGAAGGAAATTCAAATTGGATATTGAAACTTGAAGTTATATGCATCTTTCCCCAAAGTAGTAGTAGGGTAGTGGACCTCGGAGGTAAGGTTGGCCGCGATTTTATACAGCTGAGTCAGCTCATAACGTCACCATCTGGGGTTCCCAGAAAAGGGCACAACCAAGCTTCCCAGAGCTCTCACCTATTACCCCAACCTTCCTCAAACCCCGTGAGACTCACCATGAGCTCCGACGATGCCTCGCCACAGGCAGGCCAGACATATAACACCAATTCCTCATCCCGCTCTATCCGCAACCCTGCGCTCGCGAAATATAACCATGTCAAACTCCGGCCAGAGGCAATTGTGAGGCCTGATCTTTTCACATTATATTTTGGATTTTTCGGCACAGGAGTCTGGAAACAAAAGGTCGCTTCAACAGTGACCGAGCGAGTGGAGAACCACTACGTGCTGACAGAACGACCCCCGACCCAAGATGAATTCGATGCAATGGTTGAGCATGGAACGCGATGCCTGTACCACGCGCGGACGGGTTTACCCATAAGCTCCTTCCTCGGAACAGCATTCCTTTACAGCCAAGCACGCAAGTCTCCGCTCTTCCCGCGCAATCCCACGCCAGCAGCACTCTTCAACACGGTGCGAACCATGGCTGCCGATGCGACCCTCAGGGGCAACATCGGATCAGCGGCATTCAAAATGCTCTTTATCATTACTCTCGGCAGCATGGCATCGAGCGCTTATGCGGTTTCGCAAGATGCCATGCACATGTTGACGGACCCGCGAATGAAGCAGTTTGTCGAGGACGTGCGCAAGGCGAAACCAGAGGATGTGCGCAAGCGCAAGATCGAGGCAGCTCATGAGCGTCTCCGCAGCAGGCGCAGTGGTGAGCAAGATATTGGCTCACAGGTCATCGGCACACCTGCTGGATATGCAGGCGGCAATGGGTACGAACAGGACCCGACGTCTTACGATTCTCCAGCGCAGCCAAATTCTTACTCTGAATACGTGAGCTCCAATGATACACAGGGAAGCTCTCAGTCTGCTTCATATGAGTCGTCTACACCGAATTTGAATGCTGGTGCAATCTGGGCACGCGGCAGGGGCACTCAACCCGAGTCAAAATCAGCTTTGGATTTCATGGACGAGGACGATGCTAGCCCTACAGCGGCGGAATACCGGAATACAAACATCGATGGATCATCTAATGGCAGTGCTTGGGACCGGATCAGACGACAGAATGCTGGAGCACGCGTCCAGCCTCGACAGCAGCCCGGCGTGTCACAGTCTACGGTGAATCCTTACTCTACCGAGTTTGGCCAGAGTGATCAAGAAAAGTACGACTCTGGTCAGAAGACTGAGAGGGACCAAGCACAGGCAGAGTTTGATCGGATGATTGAGGCCGAGAGGAACGTTGGCGGCGAAGGATCATCTCGAAACCGAGGTTGGTGATATAGAAAATCTCTCTGCCCTTTTTTACATCCATCTTTGCATGTACAACTATGTCATTTTCAGCCTTTGGACATCTACTCTCATAGCAAAACATCTTCAAATAGGAAATAACTGATACCGTTATCATTAAGCCTTTGCAGGCATATATGTTTAGCTATGACGACCCTGATCAAGAGAGTATGAACCAATGGAAACGAGATATTTAAAGACATCGCTGTCTACAATCTTGAAAAGGAAAATATGAAGCTCAGAGACTAAGAAATCGTGCATTCAATCAACCATAGGATTAGGGCTGATGACAGAAAATGGTATTTGGAATATAACTTGGGGCATATAACTCGGGAAATATCAAGCAGAACGAGAGAGGGTATGAGCCCTTAAACAGGGGTAGTATCAAAACAAAATCAATGGGCAGTGAAAACATGATGCGTGATGCGTTGAAATCCGGGACATTGCAATTTCATGATAAAAAACCAAAAACAATCAAAAAAGGGGCTCATGATGCAAAGAGAGGAGAGAAGAATGATAACAAAGACCAGCAAACGATATATAAGAAAAATGAATACTCCCGTTCGTCAACCAGTCAAGCCCTAACGGACTTAAAGATAGTTCGGACCCGGCGCGACATAGCTCTGACTCGGCAGAATATAGTTCGAGTTCGAACCAGAAACATGCGGATTCAAGCTCTCATAGGGAGCCATCTCGGCCTCATGGGCCTGTGTCCAAGGCTCGACACTGCGACTGTTGTTGCGCATACGAGTCAAGCTGCGCAGCTTGTTCGTGAAGCTCTCATTTGAGCTGCGGTTTCGGCGATGGTCAAAGGACATCCGACTACCCGACTGACGGGAATCCATCCCGTGACTATTTCCATTGAGAGCCGGGGCAGCAGTCATAGCGCGAGGGAGAAGACGACCGAGGTCTTCGTTGTTGTCGATGGCAATGTCGATTGTGGCAGATGACTCGCGGGGCGAGACGGGCACTGCGGAGAGTGGGAATGGGGGTGGTGGAGGTGGGGTGTTGAGATGCTGCAGCTCTGGGAGAATTGGCGGCGGTGGCGGAGGGGGGATTGTCTCGTACTGTGCTGAGGGTCCTCTCTGCATTGCGTGCTCGATGGTCTCTTCGATGCTCACTTGGACGTGGGGGGAAGTGCCGGAGACGTAGCCGCCTGAGCTGGTGCGGTTATGGCCCTTCGCACGGCTGCGGCTGCTGGACCGGCTTCGGGGGAGGGCTGGGTTAAAGCGAGGATGCATCGGGAGGTCATTGGGCATTGAAGGGATGTTGTACTGTGATTCTGGCACTGGGACGGACATCGATCGTCCGATTCTCTCGGCGGCATCTCCTTGATACCGGGCATTGCTGAGGAAGAAACTGTTGTCTGTGGGAATGATAGGCACAGAGGGAGGTCGCTCTTCGTCTTGTCCGGTTCCTCCGTACTTGGGATGCCGCATGGCTCGAGGAGTTGCTGGGAGTCCGCCGGGCATTCCAGAGCGTGAAGAGTTCGAGTCAGAACTGCTGGGATAATCGGTAGATAATTTATTTTGGGCCATCTTGTTCCGCGATGGAGCCCGCTGGAAGTATGAGTTTGTACCAGAGAAAGGCGGGGAGCTTTCAAGGGGGCTTCTTGCGCTTTGCAGTTCGCCCGGGAAGGGAATGTTTGGTGCTGATGGGTTGCGGGCGAGTGATAGTCTTCGTGCTTCCAATTCAGCAGCGGCAATCTCCCTTCGCTTCTTCTCTGCGAGGGTGACAAATGGTGTTCTTGGGGGTACAATCTCTTGGAAATCATTGGCTGTCGAGCTTGGTTGCCCATTAGAGTACCCATTGGACATGTCTTCTTGGCCAAAGACCTTGCTGCTCAACTGCTCCGGCACCGATGCCTGCTGCGCCCAGGGGTCTGATGTAGGTCCTGGTTGGATCACAGAAAGACTCTGCGATGCTTTGTGTCTGGTTTCTGAAGAGCCGTCTGTTTTGGAAGTTGTTCCTTTTTCAGCGCGACGTCGACTGGCACTTCGGTGGCGAGATCGCAATCTCTTCTGGTTACCCTCGACAAGTCTCAGAGGGTTATCGAGGTCCTGAGAAGCGCCTTCTGTGGGATATGTCATAGGAAGAGGCGATGATGGTGATCGAACGCCGGATCCTTGTCGGTCATTGCTGCGGCCTCGAATTGAGGCGTCTCGCTTGTCTGTACCGATGCGGCTTGAAGTGTGTCGACTTGAAGAGCGCTGGCGGTTCCGAGAAGCTGACCCTCTCACCTTGCTAGAACTTCTAGTGCGAGACTTCGACTTCCGTGTTTCAAATGGCTTTTCAGACTCTCCGGTGTGGTATCGAGCCAACTCTTCAGGAGACATAGGCACCGGCGAGGAAGGAGAGCGCTTGGCGGGCTGAATGTATCGACGCTCACTCATACCGCGGGTATCTCGAGAGGTTTCACGCGGTTGATTGACTCTTGAGCTCTGGCTGGCAGTATCGTCTGGGTTCCGTCTTCCACGGCCCGGGGTATGCGGACGGAGCTTCCGCGCATGGTAGTTCGCTTCATCAAGACTACTGATGTATTGATCGATACTACGGCCACTGACACTTGGGCTCCTAGCCGAAGCGTAGGAATGTGTTGTCGAAGCGGTGCTTTTGGCGCTGGGAATCAAATCGGAGCGGTCCTGTGGATTTCGCTCACCTTCCAAGGTCTCGATTTGAAGGCCATCTGGTTTTCGATCTCGGGACCCATTACGATGATCATCATTTGTGAGAGCCTCGAATACACCGGCAGCTGGTGAGGGAAGCCCCTTGATTGCAGCAAACTTGTCTGCCCCTTGCACAGCAGTCTGAGGACTGGGCTTGAGAGAGTCTAGATCAGGGTTATATTTAGCGGCTGACAAAGTGAGAAAACCGCTGTTGCTGTCTTTCTCGTCTTGGCTCTGCTCGCGTTCGTTTTCGGAGGTAGAGCTATATTCATTCTGGCTGTAGGAATTTGACCGTGAAAAGCTTGGAGGGTGGACATCCACTGGTGTCTCTCCTATCGAGGGTAGACGACGACGATTGAAAGCAGGAGTATTTGTTCGAGAGGTCATTGCATGGTTCAGGCTTTGGATATTGTTCAGTTTATAAGAGCCAAATCCACCAGGGGACATTGCCGACTCGGGAACAGCGGATTCGGCAATGGGAGTGATTCCGGGTGCATTTGTTGGCGTGCGATCATCAGACTTCAAACCAGGGAAGCGGAAACGCCCTGGCTGTCCATCGAAGGAAGTAATGAGCTTTAGGGCTGGCGTTTTCACTGCAGGTTTCGAGTTAGATGTGGATCTTGGGCGGACTGCTGGTGGCATCATATTGGCTTGCGAAGGGTCGGGCGAGGTGACGCGAACCATCTCTGCAAAAGATGAAGTTTGTTGGACAGATGGAGATGCCCATGGCTCTGAAGGTTCTGCTCCCGTGCACATGAAACAGCGAATGGCGAGTTGTTGCTGGGAGTGAGTAACAACATGTTCTCCCCATCGACGAACGAGATATGACTGGCGTTGCCAGTCCGACGGGAACAAAAGACATGTCATGAGTATAGCTTCCATGAAGTGATTGCGAGAAACATAGACCTCGATGGCGTCGTTTTTATCCCCAAGACCAAGCAAGATTGTGGCCGAGGTGTGTATGTCCCCGATCTCAAGCAGCTTCTGTACAAATGCCTGTCCGACCTTATTTGCCTGCCCTTGGCCGCTCATTTGGCTCATAGCAAGAATCATCCAGTCCGAGGTTGTTACCTGCCCAGAACTAATCATCGCGGCCATTTCATCTGTGTCGTTCTCACCAAGCCATTGCGTTAAGAGAATGGCACTTTGGCTACCCATAGCGTGGCGGCTCACTAAGAATTGTCAAAAGATGTCTCCGAGATAGAAGACACGGGGTAATACATACACTCATCTGTGATCAGATCTTGGATGTCGCCATCCCAGCCAAAAACCACGCTCAACATCTGCAGCCGAAGATCATCCGAGGTTAGATTCGCCTCATCGATAGGCGGGTGCTGTTTGTAAGGCACATCAATCAATCGAGCCCGAGTGAACGGGAATAGATCCACAATGTTCTTGTCAGCAGGGCTGAGATGAACCTCATTCCGCAATCGTGATGCTGCCCTCGAGCTTCTCACAGATGACATTGAGACCGAGGAGGGGTACGCAAATGAAGCCGAAGCCTGTGGTGTATCACGACCAGCCGATGTCATCGAAAATGTCGTAGCACTCTGACCAGAACGACTCGGCGGAGAGAAGGGTCTCATATTATACTTCCCAGAGGAAGCCTTTGAGCTCACCGATTCCGTCCGACTGCGTGATGAAGCAGGGCTCGTCAGATCTGCCCTCTGTCTAATACTCTCGATGCTGGTTGCATCAAATGGCGTTCGTCTGGCGGCGCCTGGTGGTTCTCGGATATCAGGGGCGTCTTGTAAGCGGCGTGGGGACATTGTTTTTGCTCGACTGCCTTCCGCTGTGCTAGGCCGTGGAATGATTGGAAGATGTTGTACATTTGCAACCATTGCAGGATTCTCCAAATCATATTGCTGGACTGAATGCTGGGGGCCGATAGTAAATAGAGTTGCCGTAGGACCATAGTTTGCGATGCCTCGCACACCATCGATTGTGGGAATTGGATCGTAGGTGACATGTTTTGTTCGAACATCCCAAGACCATGTTTCCCTATAATTTTATGTCAGTAAATTGCTAGTAATCCTCTCGAAGGGTTGTGTACCCTTCCAAATATTGCACCAGTCTTCCATTCTTTGACCAGCCCATCCATTTAGGATCAGATGAGTTTGAATCAGATCGTTTCAATACCCTGATTACTCGAGGTGGTTCTTTCCCTGGTGGTTTTGCCACGCTCCAAACTCGTAGATCGCCATTTGATGACTGGGTTGCCAGCATGTCTGACTTTTGTTTCGATGAGGAGGCATGCCAAGCCAAGGAAATAATTGGCGATGGTCCACGTGAAGTCGTCAGAGTGTGAAGAATGGTAAATTGAGGAAGTAAAGTTGCGATCAATATAGATCCATTTTGATATCTGGAAGCCCATTAGCTTCCAACGTTACTACCCACTCAATGATAATTCCACATACCCAATTGCATAAGTACGACAATCCATGGCGGGCGCCAGAGCTGTGATTGGGTCGAAAATAGTGCGCGCAGAGATGTGCTCCGAAGTGGGAGGTTCGAACAGAATCACCTCACCCTTGCCATTACCTGTTAACGTTAGTAACTCCAAATTCTGTAAAATATGATATAAACCTCTCACCAAATGCAACATTTCCATTACGCATCCACGAAGCTATTCGCAGATGATCGAAGGAAGCAAATCGGGCAATTTCCGTTCCAGTGAAGATATCCCAGACAATCGCCGTCTGCCCTACATCGTAACTAACAACCAATCTCCCCGCACCCCGCTCGCTGACATTATCGACTGATATAAAGTCGATATTTTCCTGGTGACTCTGAAAACGTCGCTCGATTGCCAATGTATCATGATGCAAACATAGGATTGTCGAGCCCTGGGCATAAAGGAATAAGGACGCCGTCGAAGCGCAGGCCTCGAAGCGAGGCTGGACAGCCGGCGGTGCAGGTGCCATTGCTTTGACGGTCCTCGAGGGTCGCGATTCTGTCCCCAAGCTCCTATTCCATGTCAACTCAACCATTATATTTGCCCGGGGGAAGCATATGAGACGATTTGCGGGGAAATTGATTTACTATTCAAGACAAAAGGCCCAAATGATACCCAGAGCAAGAGGGAAAGAAATGAGTCTAAACAAGATTGGGCCACTGACCTCTGTTTGAGCCAGGTAGATTTCTAATCCACCAGGGCTGAGTACCCAAGGTGAAAGATGGAAATTTCTAGGGTGTCTCGAGGGACATTTGGGGGGGAGAGAGAATAAGCGCCCAGGGAATCTGACCGAAATGAAATAGGCTAGAAGAGGGCCTAAATGAAAAGGGTGAGATGCAAGATATGTAGTAAGTATGCGAGAAGGCGAGAAAAGAAAAGGAGGATGCAAGCCGTTAGAACAGGGGAGTAAAAAATAAAAGAAAAGAATTCAAGTGTGACAGTTAGGAAATTGAACTCGCTTGCACGTTCATCACATTAGGCGTGACGGAGGGCGGCTTAATGTGACTGTCAGACTTCCAACTATATAATATACATACAAGCACTGTCCGAGTACTCCGTAAAAAGGACAAACATTTCAAAAGAAAAAAGGGGAGCATAGCCGATCTAAACGGAGACTACTTTGGTTGGCGCTCGGGGGAATTGCTTGGGGCGCTTTCATTTCCTAACTGAACCATACATCTGTCTTATTTTCTGGAACTACAGAGGAACTAGAGTATGACTCGGGATAAAACCCATATTCATCATATTATTAGCGGAGACGGTGAGATCGAGCCTTCTCGGTGGCTGGGTTATCATGCGGGACTTGCACCAACGAGCATGCAGAATTCGAGTAAAGCAAAGTTAACTTTGGTTAGATCAAATGCAGATAGTTCCCGTATCACCTTGAAGAAGAGAAACCCTGACCCTTGTATGTTTTAGTGTCCTGCACGTCGATCACTCGGAGATAATCCAAGTTAAAAGGTACTTTTATATATAGAAGTATATAATTTCCCCCCTACTAACTTGACCAACTTGATATATATTTTCAACTGCAAGGAACCGCCCGATTTCCAAATAGAAATGTATATGCAAAATACAATAAATAAAAAATAGTAATGTGATCCGAGACAGTGTGATTGGGATCCGTGTTCTCAAGCTGCAGCTTCGTCACTTCACTTAGCCAATCACCACCAATCACTGCTGATCCCTCGGCGCCTACACCACCACCCTTCAGCCAATGCCTGCACTCATCCAGCCTCTCCATGATGGGGTCCAATCACTAGAAAATGTCCTAAATTGGCTAAATTGGCTTTATTGGTTTATAGCCTTTTGAATTCGGAGAAGACCGTTGATAAGTTTCATACTTGAACTAGTGTTTCCTCTGTGACGATCATTCATTTTACTTCCCACGAGGCTTATGTATGTTATTATAGAGTGTGGAGTACGGACTTCAAAGTTCTTTGATGTGACAGTAAATGCAAAAATATGCAGTGATCCCTGCACAAAAAGGCACCGAACGTCCTGGAGCTTGGGCCCCCTGTGATAGTATCGGGGACACGCAGAATTTTCAATTGAACTTGAGTAAAGGAATTTTTCTAAGTACTGGATATAATCAATTCCGATCCTTGGAATACGAGAGAATCCATAATCACGTACCTATTCAAGGGCCAATCGAAGTAAGAGTGTACTGTTGGAATTAAGAAAGTATATTCTAGTCTGTTGCCAATTTCAGAGAGCAGTTTATAGATTTTATAGCCAATAACCTGAGAATCCTACATGTAATATAGTATGTGGACTATTTATGCCCTTCAGGGCAGCTCAGACCATGTCGTTATCATATGATCGCGGGGTCTTATCGCTTTCCCCGGACCCCAGCCCTGGCTTTGACTCACTTCCCCCCAACACATACATAGCTTCTTCTATGAATTGTTATAAACACTTTATTAATCTCTGACAACATTATATTCCAACATGTCCAAAGACACAATTGTAGTGATCGGGTCAGTCCAACACTTCCTATAACATCCTCGAACCAAATGCGCCCCCAAAAAAGGGAAAAAAAACCGATCACAAGACACAATCAGCTGACCTCAACCAGTGCGGGCGTCATTGGCCTTTCCACCGCACTTTACATCCAACAACACCTCACTCCTACGCAATCCATCCTCTTGGTAGCCCGCGACTTTCCCTCGGAAACTTCCGTCAACTACGCCTCGCCATGGGCAGGAGCCCACTACCGTCCGGTGCCAGGTTCCTCGCCACAGGCCCTCAAGGAAGCGGACCAAGCACGCCGCACGTATGAGTTCCTGAAGCGGATGGCGGCTGCTGAGCCTGGTGCAGGAATCAAGTTCGTCGAGGGTGTTGAGCACCTCGAGGCTCCGCCACCCGAGTACCTGGATCAGCAGAGTGTGCGCAATGTCTATGGGCATTTGGATGAATTCCAGACTCTGGGGAAAGAGGATGTTCCGGCTGGTGTAGTGTGGGGTGTGAAATACGGGACGTATGTGATTAACTCGCCTGTGTACTGTGCGCATTTGCTGCGCAAGTTCGTTCTTAAGGGGGGCGAGACGAGACAGTATACGCTTGCCAACTTGAAGGAGGCGTTTAGTATGGGGAATGTGAAGACCGTGGTGAACTGCTCGGGAAGTGGGTTTGAGGACCCGAAGTCATTTATTATCAGAGGTATGTGTGTGTCTACGACGGGAGTGATGGTGATGGTTGTGTTTGGAATGCGCTTGAACGTGTTCGTTCTGAATTGTGTTGACATGTTCTCTAGGTCAAACTTGTCTCGTCCGTAACCCCGTCTCGAAGACCATTACTCGACAGAATACCGATGGTTCGTGGTCCTTCTGCATCCCGCGTCCCCTCGAAGGCGGAACCATCATCGGAGGCACTAAGGAGCCCAATAACTGGGACCCGAACCCTTCGCCGGAAACTAGACAGCGGCTCCTCGCCAACGCAACCAAGTGGTTCCCTTTCACGCCCGAGAGCGGCGGCAAGTTCGATGTGATTCGCGATATTGTCGGTCGGCGGCCGGCTCGAGAGGGCGGTCTGCGCATCGAGGCGGAGCAGCTCGCTGATGAACGGTATATCGTTCATGGGTATGGTGCTGGTGGTCGTGGGTTTGAGCTGTCTCGTGGTGTTGCGGAAGACATTGTCGCCGTGATGCTGGAGAAGAGTCTGCTGCAGGCTAAGGCCTCGCTGTAAAACTATTTGTTGACATTTGCCAAGCGCATGCATTGTTTATAGAGAGCATGTTGTACAAATTTCTTTTTTCTAGAGTTGATAGATCTTACCATGCCGTGCAATCTGACATATAGAAAATAGAAGGCATCAGGTTCATTTGAATGAACGAACTTTTTGCTACCAACAATATAACAATGTGCTATCAAAGGTATATCGGCCGTTGATTCTTCCGTCACATGGGACACAAGACTCATCAAGCCTTTGCGCCCCCGTGGCTAGTCAGCCCTGACCTTTTCCTCTACGTATGACATCTGTAGTACACACGTATAGAGGTTGGAAGGAAAAGGCGACCAACCGAGGCCCTCAGTGATGAGCGAGGTTGCATACAAAGCGAGCAATTTGGGGCAAGCGATTGTAGCGATCACTCGACATCGCGATCCGACCCCATAGCAACACGAAACAAACTTTAAGATTGCATGTGGCCGGGGGAGAAGGATCTTCAAGGGCCCACGAATCCAGTATCGTGAGGGTATGTAGGGACTCAATCCACAGCTTGAGGTGTGACAACTTCGGGTATACTTGCGGGTATCTCTGTAGGTAGCACCCCGCCACCGAGCTTGAGGAGACGTTCCTCTTCCTTCTGTTCACGCAGCCTCTCAGTCTCCCTCCGCATGACTGACAAGTTCCAGGTTCCATCCTCTTCCTCGCCCTCCTCGGCCTCGCTGTCCTCCTCGGCCCAGTTGCCGCTCTCGAAGAGCGTACGACCAGTAGCCTCCTTAGCCTGCTGTGCTTGAGCCTCGGCAGCCTTCTTGTCCATACGCTCCTTCTTCCACTGGGCGAAGGTCTCCTCGTTGACGGGTGTCAGCGTACCAGTCAGCTTGTGACGCTCGGAATCCAGCCAGTCCTCTAGGGTGAGGGTGTTCAAGGGCGATTTGTCCTTGAGAGCCTTCTCGGCGGCTCTCTGCTCCCGGGTCTTCAGGATGAATCTGCTCAAGCTATTAGTATCGCGTACGGGGCACATATAAGTGGCGGAAAGACATACCCTGGTGGCAAGCTATGCTTGTACATGCACTTGTTTCCTCCGTTTGGACAAGTCCAGAACCAACCGTACTTCTGGTTCTCGACTGCTTCGATGAAGAATTTGCATACCTTGTCGGTGGTTGTGCGCGGGTTGCCGTGTTTGCTCATAACGACGCTGCGTAGCTTCTCCTCGTCCCAGTCATCCATGGTATCCTTTTGCTTCTTCTCTTCCTCGTCGACCTTCTCATCACGGGTGTCGGTGTACAAATCCTTCTTGGCGGCCTTGCGCTCGACATTGGGGTCGTGTGAGAATTTACACTTTCGGCCCTTCTCACAGTGACCCTGCTTGAAGAAAAGACAGAGTACAGTCTTCGGGTCAACACCGAAGGCGACCTTCTGGACCTGCACGGGCTTGAACAGCTCAAGGTTCTCTCGCTTGGCCCGCTCAGCGGCCGCCTTCTCGGCCTCACGCTTCTCTTTTTCGGCGGCCTTCTTCTTCTCATCTAGGTTCTTGTTGCTTGCGGCTTGTGCTTGCAACTGTTGGATCTGCTTCTTGGCGGCACCACCTTTTTTCTACATTGAACGTTAGGACATGTTGGGGTATATCACGAGCGGGCTTTGCCGTTCGAGTCTTCAAATTTTGAGGGTATGACGTACATTCTTCATACCAAAGGACTTATCATCAACGGTGGCCTTCTTCTTCTTAGGCTGATCGACCTTCTTGGGAGGCATGGCGGCGGTTAGGCGGACGTAACGTCGCGAGTTCGGGGAAGAGTAAAAATGTGAAAATGCGCCTGTCCAGGGTGCGCCTCAGTTGCTGACAAGGAGATATAGAAAAGACGCCGATGAGACCTGAATGAATGACAGGGAGATCTGAAAACGAAGATATCGAGATGTGGGCAAAAATGCCAGGGTTGTTGTAGAGTGAAATGTCGAAAACGAGGGGTGTGAGAGAGTGTGGTAATTTTTGGTCCAATGACGGTGCGGGTCTTTTTACTCCAGTGCGACGACTCGAAATATAAGAGGCTTGAATGATTTTATACTTGAAGATTCAATCTTTTTATTAGAGAATCACTATTTTCTCCTACATTCAGATGTTATATTATTGTACAATATCGAGTTTTGAGGGTGTGCTCTTTAAAGTGACATGCGTCATATGCCCACTAATAATTGCCCTCGACACCCACAATAGGGCCCTGTGCAAATATAACATAGGTAGATTTGAAACAGCTCTATATAGACGGGTCTCCGGTTTGAACTTGTTTTATCTTTGTATATGACCTTGGATATGTCTTTCACTTCCCACCAAATGCCTAAAAAAATGTCAAAGTACATGCCAAGGTTGATTAGCCAGGTAACTGGTGAGGCGTCTAGAATAACTTTCATCTACAATACAAAATTGTACCATAGACTCTAAATCTACTGACTATACAGCTCTACGTGAACCTGCAATGACCACTCATCACGCTTCATCAATCATTGGGATGTCTTGAATGAGATAGATCTACCATGTATAAAGGTTGGCCTTGGATCAAAGCTGCCTGGTCAGAGTAGCCTTGCAGTCAATGGACGGCGAAAACCTAAGTAAATCCATAATCCAAATCATCGCCCGATGGGCGTCTTAAAGCACCCTTATTTTTCGTTTCTGGTCGTCATAGATTTCACAGAAAGCAGGCATCTCACATTTAAGAGACCTCCTGGATCTTGGCGGACTTCTTGCCCTCGGCCTCTTCGAGCTCAGGGAGGTCCTCCTGGAGAGCGGTGTTAGTAGATAATCACAAATCACACATAGGCGAGCAAACTTACATCATCATCTTCCTCGGCACCCTCACCACCGGGCATGCCGCCCATACCAGGCATACCGCCCATACCGCCAGCCAGAGCACTGAGGTCAGGCATGCCACCCATACCACCCATGCCGGGCATACCGCCAAGCTTGGAGAAGTCGATGTTGCCTAGGCCACCGGCACCGGCACCGGCGTTGGGGTCACCACCGCCCTCACCACCGAAACCGCCGAAGTTGTTGGCGTAGTCATCCTCACCAGCCTCATCCTGCTCATCCTCGTCGACCCACTGCATCCAATTAGTCAACATCCATCAATTAAAACGAACGCCTAAGCATACCTTGTCGAAGTTGGTCTTCAAGAAGTGCATCTTCTGCTTGCTCTCGAGAAGGCGGGGCCAGAACTCCTCCTTGAGCTCCTTCTTCCGGAGAACGAGCTCGACGTCGCGGTCGGTGTGGTTGACTTTGCTGTTCTCGGGGTCGATCTCGGCAAAGAGGTCCAGGGAGACGCTGTATGTTACGCCCTTTCGGGAGGTGCCCTTGAAAGTAACATTCTTCTCGGTGATGCTGAGGGTAGCATCGGCCTGGGGAACTTCGGCAGCCTTGATGTTCACGTAAAGGTAGTTGCGCTCAGGCTCCGAGTCGGATGAACGCTGAGCCCATGTAACTGAAAAGAAACAGAATATCAGCGCCTTGAGCTCACTCAGAAATGAAGTTGTAGAATTGGCATAGTTGATGTTTCAAAACAGTCTTAAACATTGTATAACGTCATAGTAAATTTCATGCAAAATGTGCAGTCCCGCGTTCGAGAGCGGGGAAAGCAGTAGAGGAATCATAACGTACCTTCGGGAGTCAAAGTCTGAGACATGTTGAATTAGGAGTGGAAAGATAACTGGAATAATTGAGGAAAGGGAGAGAGATAGAAGAGGTGGTCAAAGAGAGGAGAAGAAGTGTAGGAGAAGCTCATTCACGACCTACCTAGGTGCTATGTTGTAGAAACTGGTAGAAGCGTGCCTCAGGCATTCATTATGTGGGACATCGTATTACGTCAAAGCTGACTCAGTTTCCGTTCCCGGCGCGGCTGGACACTTGGAGTGGCACTCCAAGGTACCGTGGAGTGAATATTGACAGTCGCATCAGTACACACTGATCTGAAGACTGAGCCGAAGACCTACCGATTTTGGTCTTCGAGAAGAGCCCTGCCATACAATACCCCGCGGGTCTAAAATTGCGCCAACATAACCAACGAATTAGCTTTGCCCCGCCTATCTCTCAGACGATGCACCAGGCATGAGCATTAATCGCTGATCAAACCTCACCCCGAGACTGAACTCATTTGTTGGACCTTCTCGACCAACTTCATTTGCTTGCTTGTCTTTTTATTGTCACTTTCCGTCCCTATTACCGCAAAATTGCTTCCATGGAGAGTCTCAAGGCGGTATTCTTTGGGCCCGACCCGCAAGCTCAGGTAGGCAGTTGGTGTGGCTCGTTGATGCCTGGAACTATGACACTGATGAAGAATAATCTATTAGATGCGAAAATGCAATGCTTTAATACGCACAAACACACGGCAACTCGACCGTGATCTAGCTCGGCTAAAAGCCAGTGACAGTCTGACTCGCCAGCACATTGTCAATGCCTCTAAACGGGCCCAACGAAACCCATCACAGGCCAAGCAGGCTATGAATGACACCAAAGTATTTGCAAGGGAGCTGGTGCGCATTCGGAAACAGACCACACGGTTGAATACCAGTCGAGCTCAACTACAGAGTGTGGGAATGCAAGTCAATGAAGCTTTCTCTGCGCGTAAAATCCAAGGCAGTCTTCAAAAGTCAACTGGGATCATGAAGGATGTGAACACACTTGTCCGACTGCCCCAATTATCTGCGACCATGCACCAGCTATCTTCGGAATTAGTCAGGGCCGGCATTATCGAAGAGATGGTTGATGATGCTACCATGGACCCTGCAGTCTTTGAAGATGAGGAAGATGAAGCGGAATCGGAGATTGAGAAGATTCTACAGGAAGTTTTGCAAGGCAAACTCGCCCAAGCACAGCCCGTCACGGCACCGCCCGTGGCCAAAATCTCAGAGCCAGAATCTCCACAAGCCGAGGAGGAATTCGAAGACCAAGAAGCAACCCTTGCGCAGATGCGCGGCCGGTTGGAAGCTCTGAAGAGCTAGTACATATTACAAACTCAGAGGGTTAGTGTTTATTT